TTTTTTTCTCAACGACAATTAAATTCTATAAAATTCAAATAGAAGTCTTACAACCGGAGTATCAAATGATAGTTACACCTACAGGGGAGTCCAAATTAGCTACCCTTACATCCACATAAACAAGCAACTGGAACAACTACAAACTAAAGAGAGGGAGAAAATACAAATGAAGAGAAATTAGATTTAAGTTCAATGATATATGCAGCTAAAGTACTACAACATAGGTCGAAGAGATGAGATTTCTTATTTAGCTTGAGCGAACAGCCTGTTATTTTTTATCTTGCAGCAAACATGCTCCCATCCAGCCTACTTTGCCTTCATCATTGCCCACCTAACAGCTTCAAGCTCCATGCTCTCTTGGTATCCACTGTACCAGGAGCTCTGCTCCCACCTTTGCATCTCTCCACCCTCACTTGCAGCAACACAGGACATCTCAAGTTGGTTCAAGGAAGAGGGTAAGGCACTGACATTAAGAACCCATTGTCCTACCTTCATGGAAGATTCCTCCTCTTGAACTGTATGGTGACTTGTCATTGAGTTGACCTCCTTCCTGTGGATACTCTGAATGTCTGAAAACTCCAGCCATTCTGCTCTTGCTCCCTCAGCAGTCAATCTCTCGCACACTTTGGTTTTCTGAAAAACCCCGAGATTTCTGGTTTTCCAAAGCCACCATAGTATATATATGGAAAGGCTAGCTCTGACTCTAATGCTCCTAACCTGCAAAGCTCCACAAATATCATCCCACCATCCTCTGAAAGTAGGATATGGATTATCAAACCCATCCCATGTCACACCACTGAGCTTTCACACAGTTTTAGCTCTAGGGCAAGTGAAGAAAATATGATTAAGATCTTCATATTCCAGTCCACAGAGAGAGCAAATATTATCCACCACCTGTTTTCTCTTATGGAGCTGGTCATTAGTGCTGAGGTACTTAAACTAAGTGTTTAATTTTAGGCTTAATGGGAAGATTCCAAGCGACTCTCCAAACCTGATTCTCCACATTAAACCCTGAACTAGTACTAGAAATCCCCTTACTAATCATCAACTTGTCACAAAAGACTCATAAGCTGACTTGACACTAAATTGCCCAGATTTCCCAAATAGCCAAACAAGTTTATCTTTTTTCCCACAACATAAATTGGGATTTTCAGAATAATATCAGCTTCTTCAGGGGTAAAAGTCTGTCTTACTAACTCTCTATCCCAAGTCCCAGACCCTACAACAAAAAGGTCACTCACTCTAACTAAAGCAGTTATATCATTCTCAAAGAACCAAGTTGGGTTGGGGTTGAGTTCTCTAGGTAGCCAAAAATGCTCCCAAACTAAAATGTTCTGTCCATCACCCACTTGAAATCTAGCCTCGTGCTTAAGGTAATTCAAAACCCCTACCCACCCTTTCCAAAGACAATAATCCAGGTTTGACATCAAATATATTAGCCCCGTGGAAATATTTCCCTCTGAGAACTCTACCAAGGAGAAGATTAGGATGGGTAATCACTCTCCAAAGCTGCTTGACCAGCAAAGCAGTATTAAAAAGTCTCAGATTTCAGAATCCCAGCACACCCATGCCCTTAGGTTTAGCCAACTCATCCGAAAAAACCCAATGGTTTTTAGGTCCCCCTTGCTCATTGTTGCCCCACCAAAAATTTGCAACAGCCCTTCTAATATCATGACAAATACTAACAGGTAGTTGGAAACAAGACAACATATGTGGGGAGAGCTTGGAGGACTGATTTAATGAGCATCTCTTTCCCAGCAAAACTCAGAAAAATATTCTACCAACAAGACAGTCTATTAAGCACACAGTCAACAACAAATCTAAATGTATCTGTCTTTGATCTTCCAATCCCAAGGGGAAGGCTCAAATATTTAGAGGAATTCACACAGAAAATGCCATTCAACACATTACAGATTTTCACTTTGGAACAATTAGGGGTATTCTTAGAAAACATGACAGAGGATTTTTCCAGATTGACACATTGACCAGAAGCAGACCCAAAACAATCAAGAATTTGCAGAATAAGGTCAGCATAATACACATCAGCATTACAAAAGAGGATAGTATCATCAACAAACGATAAATGAGAGATAAGAGGAGAAAATCTACTGATTTTAATGCTAGAATAGAGAGATAAAGAACAAGCTTGAGGAATCAGATTAGACAAGGCTTTGACAGGATAATAAACAAGTATGGAGAGATAGGGTCACCTTGCCTAATGCCCCTAGATGGTTTCACATACCCAAGGATTTGACCATGACTGTTAAAAGAGAAAGAAGTCGTACTCAGACAAGCAAATATCCAAGCTACAAATTGCACAGCAAAACCCATCCTCCAACACACTCTAAGCAGTAAACTCCAGTCAACCCTGTCATAGGCGTTAGCCATATCCAATTTAACAACCATAAGACACTTAGACCCCTTTCTTTTACTATTAATGAAATATAAACATTCATTGGAAAGAACAACATTATCAAGAATTTGTATCCCAGACACATAGGCAACCTGGGAGTCATTAATGCAAGGACTTAAGATAACCTTCAGCCTATTAGAAATGGTCTTAGAAATAATTTTATATATGACAGTGCAGAGAGTAATGGGTCTGAAGTCAGAGACAAGAGTAGGGTTAGGCTTCTTGGGGATCAAAGTAAGAACAGTATGGTTCAGACCTTTTGGCATTTTACCAGAAACAAAAAAATTGACAATGGCTTCACAAAAATGGTGTTTAGCAATTGGCCAACAAGATTGGAAAAATAGGGTGGTCATGCCATCTATACCTGGGGCTTTAGAATGTTCCATATCCTTTACAGCATCAAAGATTTCTGCCTCAGTTACTGCACAAATCAACTGGTGGTTCATCTCACCATCAATAGTCACAGGGATACCATTAAGATCACAAGCATCTAAATCAGGCTGAGAAGTACAAAACAAGTTCTGAAAGTAAGCTTCTAGTTCTCCAATAATTTCCTACTCATTATTACACCTTCTCCCACTAGAATGCAGTAAGTTATCTAGGTTATCAGATTTCCTTCTATGGTGGACAGAAGCTTGAAAGTACTTAGTGTTCTTGTCACCTTCCCTAAGCCACTGGATCCTAGACTGAAGCCTCCAATAGGTTTCCCCTTCAAGATAGGCTTGATGTAACTGGTTTTTCCATCTATCCCACTCTCCCCAGTCTCTCTCACCACCGAAGATTTCTAAGTCATTGATGGCAATGTGACATCTCTCAATCATTTAGCAGAATTAGTGACCAAGTTCTTGTTCCACCTAAGAAGAGCCATTCTCACATTCCTAATCCTACTCTGAAGGCTGTACAACGGGGGACCACTCACAGGTAAATTTTAGGTTTTTTCTACTACACTTTTAAATCCCTCCCTCTTAACCCACCTGGCATTAGACATGTCAAAACGGGCCAGCGGGGCGGGCCGGCCCGCAGCCCGCCAAAACCCGCCATTTGGCGGGGCGGGGCGGGATGGCCGGCCTCTAAATGGCCAGCCCGATCCACCCCGCCATGGGCCGCGGGCTAGGCGGGCCGGCCCGCTAAAATTAAAAAAAATAAATACATAAATAACGCTAAGTACACATGTTACGGCCCAGCCCAAGTTTTCTGCATCCTTTTGAGAAATTTTACAGCCGAGGCCCTTGTTTTTATTTGTCCCTCCTTTTTTTTTCTCTCTCCCA